TCACGCCAAGAGCACATTCGCTATTTACAGGACGCAAAGTGAGTCTAAGTGGAAAAACTGAGCATTTCACAAGCAAACAGTTAACAGTGTTTTAACAGAAAACTGTTAAACAGAGCATCTACTGCGTGAGAATGAGAGATAATGGATCACTTTCGCTCTTGGATAGGGAAACCTTTACTCACAGACATTAGTCTATAAATAAATAATTTTGTTTGTTAAGCACAAATATTTGTTTCAAAACTATTTCTAAATTCAGTTCTAATTTCCAGCAAACGAATAAATGAATAATAATAACAAAATGTGCTCAAAAACCTGAGTTATATCCTAAAACACATGCTGTGCCCCATATGATCTAAAACCTGACAGGTGGACAAATCTAAGCTTGTTTTTAATAAAACAAATATAAATATGGATATAATAAATAATACTGCTAATAATAATAACATTATACAAAAGCAAATTGTTATGAATGAACTGAAAAAGCCTCCCGAGATGAAGAAGACATGAAAGCAGTGATTTTTCATATTTATGTCGGCTAGAAAATAATATGTTTTGTAATATTTTAATCCTTTATATTTATATTCTATATCTATTCTTATTATATCCTATATATATCCTTAATATTTACATTTTTTCATATGTAAAGATATTTGCCTATTGCTCTCTCGTGTGTATTAAGCAGTGTGTAAGCGGTGCAACTCTGCACTGGAGTTTAGACCGGGTTTGTTTTGGTTTAATTAAAAATCTATTATAGATTCTCAAAATAGCAACGCGCCAGCGGTCCACCTCAGAACGCCTTCCTTTTTAGACCAGAACGCCTATGAGCGCTATGATAGGGCCCATAAAGTTAGAAATGGAATTTCCTATACCTAAATACTTTCAACTGAATTGAAATCCCCACACAGGCCCTAAAATACACACATAACTGCTTAAAGTATTGGTAACTCTATGGATAAACGTTGCAATGACTCCACAAGTCACACGTTTTGAAATGTGGACAGTAATAATACTAACAATTTAGATACTGATGAAGCAGTGGCACAGTAGGTAGTGATGTTGCCTCACAGCAAGAAGGTCGCTGGTTCGAGCTTCGAGTGGGTCAGTTGGCGTTTCTGTGTGGAGTTTGCATGTTCTCCCGTATTCGCGTGGGTTTCCTCCAGGTGCTCCGGTTTCCCCCACAGTCCAAACACATGCAGTATCGAGGAATTGGATAGGCTAAATTGTCCATAGTGTATGAGTGTGAATGAGTGTGTGTGGATGTTTCCCAGGGATGGGTTGCGGCTGGAATGGCATCCGCTGTGTAAAAACGTGGTGGATAAGTTAGCGGTTCATTCCGCTGTGGCGACCCCAAATTAATAAAGGGACCAAGCCGAAATTAAAATAAATGAATGAATGTTCTAGCTTTGTTCTGTACATATTCTACAACCTTCAGACATAATAACCCTTAAGCAAACATCTGAAATGCAATATTACTCACAATATTATACACAGTTTATGCCACGTTCTTGGCTGGCCCTCAAGACAATTAGCTATGAGATAACATTGTGCTGACTCTCTTCACAGCGTGTGCAATGTAAACGCTATTCAATAGTCTTATAATGCAGTGCAGAACAACTTATAAGTGTGGACCATCAGCAGGATCCTGACACAAGCCAAATAACAGCGCATTTATTTGGTCCCTGCTATCTGCATTTTTGGCATCATTTCAGCTTTGTGCAATAAATCACAATATTAATTCACTTTAGACAGAGCTCTGAAGGAAAACAAATAGGAGTTTGATTATTGCCAGGTCAGACAGCATATTATCCTAGCATTTTTAAGGACTTTTTGTACAAAATGATATATTTTCAGGTATATGGCTGTGCAATATGGCGATATATATTGTATATACAAAATAAAAAGTCATTATTCTTATTATGCTCTTGTGACATCACTAAATATTCATTATATTTTACATTTATTTGATATTTTCAGGGCTCAACAATAAGGACTGCCCGGTGGCCCGGGGCCAGCGTGAAAGACACTCGGGACAGTAGACAGGATTGTTACTGGCCCCTATCGGCCAGTAACGATGAGCACGTTTTTTTTTTTGTTTTTTTTTTGTAACCTGGTAACAACCAGTAAAGCGAAAAGATGGCAACATGCCAGCAAAATTAAACAATGAGGCTAAAAAATAAACGTCTGTTTCTAAAGCCTTAGAAGCAGACAATTACATGGGAACAAAATTAAGAAACTGAAAAAAAAAAAAACAGTTGTCAGTTTGGCTAGCCATTTTTATAAAAATTATTTAGAATTGCATTAAAATACCAGCACATTTTTCATACTGCAAAATTTTGAATTTTGCTCATCATACATTTATTAAAATATTTAAAATGTTTAAATTCTAGATTCACAGGCATAATTTTGCCACTATTTAAAATATGTGGCTAAGAAATAGCTATTAACTTTTTAGTTTTTTTGGTGGGGCCAGTGAAAATTTTGGCAGGGCAAGTAAAAATCTCAACCAATGGCCCGATTGGACCTGTATAAAAAATCCTTAGCGTTGAACCCTGATTTTTATTATACCCTGTATATTTTCCCCAATTTCTGTTTAACATATTCGTTTTAATAACTCTAATAAGCTTCTAATAACTGATTTTTTTTTCTCTTTGCCCTGATAACAGCACATAATATTTGACTAGATATTTTCCAAGATACTAGTATACAGCATAAAGTGACATTTAAAGGCTTAACATGGTTAATTAGGGTAAAGTTAGGTTAATAAGGGGGCTAATATTAATGACCTTATATGGGTTTAAAACAATTAAAAACTGATTTCATTCTAGCTGATATAAAACAAATAAGACTTTCTCCAGAAGAAAAAAAGATTATCAGAAATACTGTGAAAAATTCCTGAATCTGTTCAACATCATTTGGGAAATATTTTAAAAACCCTACTAATTTTGACTTCAACTGTATATAACAAAACAGAAAACAGAAAGGATACTTTATCGTGATAAATATCGTTATCAGGATTTAACATGACTTTCCAGGTAGCAAAGAATTCTGGCCCAGATTTGCCATAAAGCTGGCACAGCAGGCATTTATCCAGCACTGGCATACAGCATGTGGGCCAAACATGACCCAGATTTGGCAGAGGTGGCACCGTCTTTAAGGCGGCACACAATACTTAGGCCAGATATCAAATGTAGTATTTGGCCCAGATGCTAACAATAGATATGTGGGCCATGTAAGTTTGGCCTATTTTGACCCACATTTAAAATACTTTTTAATTATTTTTGAATAAAGGAAAAAAAAATCTACCAATCAGGTTGCTTCAAGAAAAAGCACAGCCATAGCGCACCTAAAAGGCAAGGTTTAATGGGTTTTATGGGTTTTTATGGGTTTATCAATTTCATTGCAGTCGTGAAATCAACATAACATCAACATATCTGGCCCAGTTCAGGCTGTGTTATGGGTTATTAACTTGGCTGAGACTTGGCCCAGGTATGGTCCTTGTCTGGAAGCCAGACTTGGTCCAGTCATGTACCGTAATTCACTGCGGCATGTGGGCCAAGCAACAGCTGGTTGTGTGGGCCAGAGCTGGCCCAGAGATATTTTGCTATGTGGGCTATATCATGAAATCTCCCAGCTCTACTTTCATACCAGATCTTCTGCTTTCCACAGGTATCGTTTTTCCATATTTCCCAAGACTGGGTCGATACAACCTGAACTTCCTTGAGGCTGAAAAAGCTTGCCGAGACCAAGACGCCATTGTGGCATCCTTTGAGCAGCTGTACGACGCCTGGAGAGACGGTTTGGATTGGTGCAATGCAGGCTGGCTCAGTGACGGATCAGTACAATACCCCATCACCAAACCCAGAGAGCCATGTGGAGGCAAAAACACCATTCCCGGAGTCAGGAACTATGGGATACGAGACAAGCAAAAAGAACAATACGATGTCTTCTGTTTCACCTCCAACTACAAAGGTTTGTCTTCCTCACAGTTCAATTAAAGGCCATTCAAGAGTTCACACTTAGATATGCTTAGCATTATAGCAGGTTTGGAATGCTGTCCCGGGAGAGAACCCTGAGCTCGGAGATATTTGAGCCCAGGGCTCCCGCCCGGTCATTAAGCATATCAGAGGATCCGAGATCAGGAAGGTCTCGATATTTCCCCTTTTGAAAGGGAAGGAAAAGGAGGAGATGGGGTGGAAGGGGGGATTCTTCCGAAATGTGAAGATAGGGAAAAAGGTTAAAAAGAGATCCATTTATAGTAGGCTAGGATCACTCGGATTGGATTATTACTGATTACAAATGAGTGGCCAGCTGTGCTCAATCATATCACGTGCTCCTCTCGAAATTAGTTTATGAAACTTCACTTTGAAATAGGCTGGCTACAAGGGATAAGTGTTGTCACAATACTGGAATTTGATAGCAATCGATACTGAAATTTTAAAAACGTCTATTTCCTGCTAACATTGGAGCACCGTTGAGCGCGTTCTTAAACAGCCCTGATTGGCCATTGTGTTCACATGCTCAACAGAAATGACTGTGATTGGCTGTGAAGGTCATCAGTTAACCAAACTCACCACTGTTTACTGAGTGTAGCCAAAGAGCTTAGAATGACCAAAAGGCGACACTCAATAGAACGTTCCATTACACTAGCAGCGCCCAGCAACAGCCCTGGATTCCGCCATTTTGGAGTGAAAATGATCGGCCGTCCATTGGATCTCATTACTGTCGCGATGGCAAGCAGCTGCTTTGTTTTTTATTTATTTATTTAAAAAGTGCATTAAAGCTGAGATACAACCTGAAAGACGATAATACAACACTTGCTATCACAATCATCAGCACTTTTAATAGTTTATTTTACAGACTTATAATATGCTGCTGTTCTAATGGAGTTTTCATGCCAAAATGGCCGCTGCGCCATCTAGTGGCTGTTTCCCAAGTTACACTAGAGTGTCGCCTCTTGGTCATTCTAAGCTCTTTGGTGTAGCTACAGATACAGGGACACCTGAGCGTCTGATTAAAAATATACATACGAGTGATCTGGGGTCCGTTCTTCGTACCTCGCTTAAATGATCTAAGATTATTTGGCAGATCCCGGATCTTTTAATCTTGATATCTGATCTCTCGCTAATTTGGTTCTTCAAACAAGTTCACGAATCAGATTAGAATGTCTGGATGAACTGATCTGAGATCGCTGCGTGTGTTGTGAAGGACAGATCTATCGATCCTCGAAATCATGATCAGCAATGCAACGATTGGCTGACGGCACAGCAGCGTAATGACATCATCTGATTAATATTCAATTATCCTTGTGGGCAAAATTACATCAAATTAGCAGTAAACGGCTTGTTAAATATGACACGCAATAACCTTCCACATTTGTTGTGAGCTGCAGGCTTTACACTTTCATGTGTCAAGAGTATTCATCATGTATTTCAATGCAAATCAGTGTATTTAGTTTCACATTTAGATAATATTTTCTTTATTATAGTAGCCGTTTTTTAATCGGTGTAAAGAATAACTGGTTGTTTACAAAAGCATTTTCATATTGGTAAAGGCGTCTGCAACTTTTGTGAAGCATCAAATCACCGGCATATTAACTGTCAAAACATGTTTATGACTGCTGAAATGTATTATTGCTTGTAAAAAGTCACATATTGTGCATTTCTATTATACACAATTTGTACTAAAGCGATCTAAAAAGTTCATATCAATAAGTTTTCTCTTTGCACCACCAGGTGGCAGTCTCTGTACTTTCATTACGAGGGTGCAGATTGCATAAGTTTTATTAATATGTATAACTTAATTTATTTTATTAATGACTATAACTTTATATAGTTTAAAAATATGTACCATTTTCCCAAGTGTATATAACTACTACAGTAAGAAAATATCAGAATTGGGAACATACTTTCTGTATTATCTTTGCTTGAACTGAGCCGATCTAATCCTGTTTATATGAATTGAACCTGCTCCCGACCAGGTTTGACCTAGCAGAACTGTTGCTATGACAACAACTCTCTGATCAGCTTTGAAGAACGAAACGATCCTGGATCGTGTCACATCGGCAATATCCAAATCCAGCTAACTGAGTAATCCACGTACGAAGAACAGACCCCTGCTGATGAATCCACTGATATTTAAAAAAATTTAGATTTTACTTTACAGCAAAATAATTCTTGCATTAAAATGTGTCATTTGTAAATAAATTACTATATTATTTGTAACACAATTGTGTCCTTTAATACAAGCAGTCAGATAAATGAACTGTATATATGTTCATATACAACCATATATAAACACAAATTTAAAATATAGGTGTAACGGAGGGTCTGACACAGAGAGGGATCCGTTTGCAGTATTTTTATTAAACAGAGTTTAATAACAAATAGCACACAGATGTTAAGCGTGTGCGAACTCGCATAAAACACAGTTGTAGTTAGTCGAAGGGCTGGCGGCTGGTAAACACAAGGTGAGTATTCAGGCATGGGTCAAAGGCAGGCGGCGAGGATCAAAGTCTGGATGCAGGCTAGAGTTCAGGGCAGGCAAGACAGTTGAGATACAGTCAAAAGTTGTCAACGGGAAAGCAGGCAAGGATCAGGAAACGCTCAGTAGTGTTAGCCGGGGCAGAACAAGACTTCGCACTGAACTGGAGTGAGTGTGTGGCTTATATCTGTGAGCGTGGGTCGTTAGCGGGATGAGAAACAGGTGTGTGCGCTTATCAGTTGAAGTGGATGACGTAATGTCTAGAAGTCCGGTGATGCTGACCTCTGCTGGCCAGCGAGGGGAATGACTGGGACCGAGTCGGTGACAATAGGTAATATATTTGAACATATGTCAGTGTTTCCTTTAGTTGTGGCGGCAGGCCTTTTTTACACAGATCTACTAACTACCTGTGGCGTTATTTCAATGGAAAATGTCGTGAGCGCAGTATTAGAAGTCGAGGCCGCTTTGCTTGCGCACCGATTTCCGCTTGCTCGTGCACAAAACTTGCTCTTGCACGCCCCTTCAAATATACGCTGCTCAAGTACAGATTGTCTTGTGCGCTCTCAAATAAACACTGCTGAAGTGTGATTTAGTGCGTTTATGTAACAAGTGTGTCTGCAACATTTATTAGATTAGCTAGGAATATATATGAACGTAGGGCTGTGCAATTAATCAAAAATCTGATTTCGATTTTGGCTTCTAAAGATTATGAAAAACCATTAATCGATATAAACGATTATTGCATCATTTACCGCCCCTTTTTCAGTTGTACATGTTTTGCTCTTAAAAGTGGGAAAGACTGCATGATTCTGTGTGTGAGGCGCGCACACACAGAATAGAAGCATGCAGTCAGTTCGGTCTCATTCGCACAGAGACGAGCAGAGCGCAGTCAGCGCACACATCTAAAGTCATCTTAACGTGAGCGCTTTAATGGTCACAATGCGGCGTTTAGTGATTATTCATAGTAACTCTCATTTCTGTAATAAACAAATGAGTTGAGAATTAAAAGCCACGTGAAAGAGAAACTATTAAAGAGACAGCGCGCTATAATCCTTCTGCTGCCTGTTTTTATGATTATTAATCAAACAACAAATGAAGAACATGCCTCACTAGCTAAAGTGTTTTTCTTACAGTGAAGATGCTTAAAGCACAGTTTGTTTCATATTTTTATTCTATTGTATTTATTTCACTTTCCTTTGCAGGCTGGAAAATAACTGTATATACTAGGGATGTAACGGTATCAGAATTTCACGGTTCGGTAATACCTCGGTATGAATGTCACGGTACGGTATTTATTGAATCATTTACAGGAAAAAACAAAACTTATGAAAATACTCCAAAAAAAGTGCCAAAAGTGTCAATGACATACAAATTAGCCATCTATCTGTAAGCTTTGAAACAGGAACTTCAATTTTAATAACAAAAAACTATTAAACCATGTAAATAAATTAAGTTTCAATTTAGTATTGTTAAAAACTCATCACATTCAACATTTAATCACTCACTCACTTAGATAGAGATGGGTTTAAAGGAAAATTATCATATAAATATAATCTGGTAAAAGCTGGTATCTCTGGGCATTTACAATGTCCCCTGCAACAGAAAAACCCCTCTCATTTGGGACTGAGGTTTCTGGGACAGAGAGATATGACTTGGCCCATGTTGACAGCAGTGGGTAACGTTGTGCATTGTCTTTCCCCCACTTGAGAGGACAAACCATGAGTGAGATAGAGGTCTCATGTCTGCATCAATCTGAACAGTGTGCTGTGTTTCTGCAGTCCCCATGACTGTTATTAGTCGTGTTCCCCAACTTGCAGGCGCGTGCACACACAGGGCTCAACCTGTGCAGTGCACATGCCCTTTTTAGTCTTGGATAGAAAGTTCCCTTCCAAAATGATCAAAAGTGCCCCCGCGACGTGACACACCCTCCGTCCCCGCTTTACAGTATGCGCGCGACAACACCGCTATTCAGTACTCGCGCGACAACACAGCTAAGAACTCGCGCGACAACACCGCTATTCAGTACTCGCGCGACAACACAGCTGATAAGAACTCGCGCGACAACACCGCTATTCAGTACGCGCGCGGCGACAACACCCGCTTTAGAGTTTTCCAGCTCTTTTTCATCCCCGCTTCTAGCAGCACACTCCATTTCCGCATTACTGGATCTGTAGCGACAACAGACCGCAAGGGATTATGGCCACGCCTGGGCTGATGGGAATTGTAGTTTCCGGTACCTGCCGTTCGCTTCATTCGCCTGAGCAAATTTTCTCAGAAGACCTATAGTTTTACCGAGTCATGCGACTACGGTAATATCGAAAAAAATTAATATTGCGGTATGACGGTATTTACAATACCGTTACATCCCTAGTATATATACAGTTGAAGTCAGAATTATTAGCCCCCCTGAATATTAGTAGCCCTTTTCCTACCCAATTTCTGTTTAATGGAAAGAAGATTTCTGAACATAATAGTTTTAATAATTCATTTCTAATAACTGATTTCTTTTATCTGTCATAACGACAGCACATAACATTTGACTAGATGTTGTTCAAAATACATGCATTCACATTCAAAGTGGGATTTAATGTAATTAGGCAGGTCATTGTATAACAGTAGATTCTTCTGCAGACAATCAAAAAATATATTGCTTAAGGGGGCTAATAATATTGACCTTAAAATGGGTTTCAAAATATTAAAAACTGCTTTTATTCTAGCTGAAATAAAAAAAAAGCCTTTCTACAGAAGAAAAAATATTAGAGGAAATACTGTTAAAATTCCTTGCTCTGTTAAACATCACTTGGGAAATATTTATTTAAAAAAAAACTCTCTGGAGCGCTTATAATTTTGACTTTAACAGTAATGGATTTGAATAATCGTGATTACAATTATGACCAAAATAATCGTGATTATGATTTTTCCCAAAATCGAGCAGCCCTATATGAACGTCTCCAATAGACCAACAGAGCGGTATTAATGCGTCCTGAAGTAAAGTGAAACGGCTATCCGTCTTGTTTGCTGGCCTCACGCATCACGCACCAGTCAGTCACACAGTCAGTCTGCATGTAAACTTAAAGGGTTAAACAAACAACGCACAGCACTACTACGGTTACAGAGAAGTCTGCGCTGTTATAATTCACTTACCTTCTAATACATTTTGGTGCACTTATCACCCGCTATAAAAAAAAAAACATGACTGAATGTTTTGAATGAAAAGCTGTAATGTAGCCGTAGCGGGATCAATTTTGGCATGGCGCCCCGCCATGGACGAATCATTTGTAGCGGAAACCATGTATGTAAATGTATATGTTCATATATGTACTTAATTTTACCTGCTCAAAGAAAACACTCGTTTAATTACATGAAAAGAACAACATGAGCATTTATGGCAAATAAATAATTGTAAATATTATCTCACTTGCGGCGACGCAGTGGCGTAGTCGGTAGCTCGTTCGCCTCACAGCAAGAAGGTCTCTGGGTCGCTGGTTCAAACCTCGGCTCAGTTGGTGTTTCTGTGTGGAGTTTGCATGTTCTCCCAGCGTTCGCGTGGGTTTCCTCCGGGTGCTCCGGTTTCCCCCACAGTCCAAAGACATGCGGTACAGGTGAATTGGGTAGGCTAAATTGTCCGTAGTGTATGAGTGTGTGTGGATGTTTCCCAGAGATGGGTTGCGGCTGGAAGGGCATCTGTTGCGTAAAAACTTGCTGGATAAGTTGGCGGTTTATTCTGCTGTGGCGACCCCGGATTAATAAAGGGACTAAGCCGACAAGAAAATGAATGAATATCTCACTTGCTTTCTGCGCGTTGTCGAATGAATTCTTAAACACCTGTGATTGGTCATTGTGTGCCTGCGGCTCAACAGAAAGGGCTGCGATTGGCTCTAATGCTGCGTTCACACCAGACACGGATAAAGCGTCAAGCGAATAGACATCCTGCTGTGCGATTCACAAGAATGAAGTGGCGCGAGTTACGCATTTTGCACATTTGACATGCTTAACGCACATATCGTGCTAATCGATCAAGTTTCTGAACTTCTGTGGACTTTCGTGCCGCATTTCTGCAGGGACGTGATTGCGACGCCGGACAACAGTTCATCAAACTGGGCTTAGTCGGATGCACCGCTGAAAGCTCAAGGAGTTGATGAACTCACAGAGCTGGGTGCACCTCTGAATGGATCTAGTGGACTCAGACACAGCGCCAAATAAATCGTCGCTGTTTATCAGCCTCCCTAAAGCACAGCTACCCCCAATAAAACCCATGTTAGCCATTTAGCAATAAAGCTAGTGTCACCAGGCAGACAGAAGCCCTGCCCATGATGTGAATCGGCATCTATTGTGAATTAAGCGAATTTGGTGTGCAAATGAAGCCAGTAAACTCAAAATGTTCACGCACCTATTTACGTGTGAATAGCATGATTTATTCGCACGTTCCACATTTGGTGTAAACACAGCATAACGGTCAGCACGGCTCTGGTGTTATTCACCAATGAGTGACACAGATACAGATAAACAGCTGTGATCTATAATGTGCAGTTATCACAGCTGATCCATGATAGACACGGTGGAGAAAACTTGCGCTGTAGAGTAACCGTCTAGATCTACAAATATCGCTGTAACAGCCGAGAGAGGAGAGGAAACGTTACCTCACGCAAAGTGAGGGGGAGAGGGGGAGAAAGAGAGAGAAGGACAGCAGAGATGGAGTTTACGGCTTTCATTTTTCCCATAGTGAAATAAGGGCTCGTGGGTTCTAGGCATGGGGCGATAACCATCTTCAGGGTATACCGCGGTTTGGAAAAGTCAAGGTTTTAAACCCACAAAAATTTCTGTAATACCGTTCCTAAGGTATATGTAAGATTTTACATGTATTTTTAAGTCTTGTAAAGAAATCTCTGATTTTAAAACTAATGTAAACAGCAGAAGGTAATGATTCATTTGAATCATTTAGCCTGACATGTTTACTGCTCCAAAATAATATAAATGTTTCCTAAAACAAAATATATGGTGTTTAATTGGGGAAAAAAAGTAGTTTTTTTTTTTAACCCAGACATTTAAAAATAGCTTGTTTTAGAGCAGTAATCACAATACCGTGAAATTTTAATCCAAGGTTATTATAATGACAGAAACTTTCTGTCGTAACAGTTGTCTGCTTTTTAAGTAACGTTAGTTGGATTATTTAAATGTATTGTGCTTGCCTCCCTCGCCATAGTAATAATCAAAATAATCGCAGCTTTTGTGATTTTGGGAAAGAAATAAAAATTAATAATAAAAAAATAAATAAATCACACCTTTTCAAATTGATTAATTATGTAGGCCTAGGCACAAGCCATTTATTAAATAAAGACTCACGCAGCTTCTACTGCAGCAAATTATATTTAAATTTTGATATTTGGTGTCAATTATCAGGAAGTGACGATTTTGTTCTCTTTAACTCATTGGATGGATGTCTTTTATGCAATATTTCAGTTTTGTACATATATTTTATGTGCATCTTTGGATGGAAACAAGCAGAGCTCTGCATATATAACAAACCAATGTTTTAAATTCATATATATATTTTTAATTAGTCAGTACTGAAGCCAAATCTGGAGCTTATCTAACAAAATAACTTACAATAGTGGTCCAAAAACTAGTACACCAAAATTTATATGTTATAGAAAAATAATAAATACAACTTTGGAAAAGAGGAAAAAATCCAGAGAAGCAAAAAATTGAATTTAGTTGAAAATTTATTAGGTTGTATTATTATAATTTTTTTTTTGCTATATTTTGCTGGAATTTATTTGTATTATCTTTCAATTTTTAAATTGGTGACTAAAATATGATTTTAATAAATATGTTTAATAAATCTATTTGTTTAAATGCACCAAAATACATTGCTTATATTCACTGAGAAATGGAGAAAAAGATTCATTTTCGAAATGGGCTGTACTTTTTATGCTGAGCAGTGTAGCTAGTGTAATGCTTCATCTTATTTAAGCTACTTTGAGAATAAACACTTGTCTTTTTACTCCCCCACAGGACGTTTTTATTATTTGATACACTCGTCCAAGCTTACATATGACGAGGCGGTGCAAGCATGCCAAAAGGATGGAGCTCAAATCGCCAAAGTTGGGCAAATGTACGCAGCATGGAAGCTTCTGGGCTACGATCGATGCGACGCCGGCTGGTTGGCAGACGGTAGTGTACGGTATCCAATCTCCAAACCCCGCAGACGCTGCAGTCCCACAGAGGCCGCCGTACGCTTTTCCGGATTCCCAGACAAGAAGCACAAACTCTACGGCGTCTACTGCTACAAGAGCAACAACTGAGTTCGCAAAATGTGTATAACTCACGAACTAAGTGTAACAATGTAAGGAGTTAGAGTGCATTAAAACTGTGACAAAGTCTCTAGATACTGTAATACTGAAGGATTTGATTAAGACGTAAATGATTGGTGTTTGTTTGACGATTCTGTCGGATTAGGCACCTCCTCGGGTGGTCTTTTCCCTCAAAAATGAAGACGGCAACCGGACAGGAAAAGCATTCATAGTAGGCCGCAGAAACTACGAGTCTGAGCGATCGTATACAGCAGTGCTAATTAAAGGAAGAGATATATTTGGCGAGATTGCAGTAGAAATTCACACTGCGCTCTTCCATTCAGCATGCAGTAGCTTGAGGGATGTTCTAGAACTGAAATGACGGCAAAGTTTATATACGTTGACCTGATACCTTTGGGCACTTAGTTTATCATTCAAGAGCATCATATCCCATAAAAAACCTCATATAGGAATCTGATCCGTGACTATATACTGTATGCTAATTACATATTTGGATTTCACATATATAAAAATGCGGTATATATGCTACATACATTTAAAAATATTGCAAAAATGGTCATTTAAATGTTTTTTATTATTATTGGAATTACAAATATGAACTTGTATGAGAGTATATGTTTAAATTTAGTAGCTATATTTTATATATGTTTTCATATATCACCATATACGAGCACACATACATATATGCGTGTTCATATACAGCCATGTGAACTCACATTTAAAATATAGCTAATATATTCGAACATATGTAAACGTATATGTTCATGTATGGCCGTATATGAACATATATGCATGTGTGCTCATATGCGGCCATATATGAACATATACATTTACACATGTTCAAATACATTAGCAATATTTTGTATATGTTCATGCATACATGTTCATATACGGCTATGTATGAACATATTTAAAATGTAGCTAATATATTTGAACATATATGTAAATGTATATGTTTAAATATGGCCATATATGAGCACACATACATATATACGTGTATGTGCATTTGTATACAGCCATATATAAAGATATATAAAACATAGGTAAAATATTTTAACATGTATGTAAATGTTGATATATGGCCATATATGAACATATCTGAACACACACACACACACATACATACATATAGATACATTATATATATATATATATACACACACACACATACATACATACATACATACACACACACACATATATATATATATATATATATATATATATATATATATATATATATATATACACACACATATATATCTATATATACTTATACGTATATATATATATATATATATATATATATATATATATATATATATATATATATATATATATATATATATATATATATATATATATATATATATATATATATATATATATATCACATATATATATATATACACATATATATATATATTTATATATATATATATATATATATATATATAT